TGATTTTATCAGACGATGCTGCGATTATAAATGAGAGTGACTCCTGGTTAACATGTATTAAAAGGGGTCGTGTTTAGTCACTATTTAGTGTGGTATTTTTTGACAGTATTCACTCATCATGAATAGGGCATTCTAAAGGCCCGTTCACACCAAGCACGATAACTATAAAGATAACGATAAAGATATAGTTCTAAAAATCGTTCTCAATATTGAAGAATAGCATAGTTCCACACCACAACTATAACGATAACGATACAGAGGAACGATATCGTTGTGATCACTTTCAAAACGATTTTTTTCCAGCTGATGAACGATAAAACACTGACAGCCAATCAGAATCTATCCTGCTGTAACGAGCTCAAGAATTTAAAGCGGCAGACGCATGTGCGCTTAGAATAAACAGACGATATCGTTCGCTGGTGTGGACGCTAATACTGTTATCTTTATAGTTATCGTTCTTGGTGTGAACGGGGCTTAAGTCAATATACTGCAGTATTTCCTCTCAATCAGTAGGAAATATGGTTAACACCCGCTAATGCATGAAAAAACAATACCGTCATGTACTGTGAAACCGGTATCATTTTGAAAAATATTTTATTAAAATACATTTTTGGTCATACCACCCAGCACTATCGCTCGGCACTGTCGCACACAGAAATATGTCAACAACTAGACTTTATCGTTATTATCGCGGGAATACTAATCCTTATCGTGGGGAAAATTTTTACCGTTATATTGCAAACGATAAGACATCGCCCATCCCTAACTTCAAGGATAGCCATGTATATCGAATTAAAGCAAATGAAGAAGCTCTGAAAGGTTTCATTGCACAAGCAGAACTTTTAAAGATGCTTTTCCACACTATTCAGCTGTTGTTTAACATTGTGTAACTTCATACAGTATGTGAGCTCATGACGGTGTAGTTAGGAATGTGTGTCTCGTTCCAGGGAGTTTCAGATGGTGAATGACATGGCAGTGACTTCACCCACATATAGCCGAGACACGTTCCTCAAAGCATTTTCACTTGTGCTTGCGACATCTTTTGGCTTCATTCACAGTAAGCTCCAAACTCAAACCCCGATAGCTTTGCTCCACGTTTTGTAATCATTCAGAAGTGTTCGGGCGGGTCTCCCGCCGCTGTCAGCTGTGTTGTCTTTGTAGTGGAAGTGCTGCGAGAAACAGTTGGTTTGAGGAGCACTGACTCGCAGTATGCATACTAGCACAGTCACAGCCTGAAACCTCGTGATGTGGCCGATCTGTGCGCCAGTGTCGGGGAAGCTGCTTTCAAGCTTTTTAAGAGGGCAATTTGTTTTTTGTTACATAAGCAGCAGATTATATAATTTAGTATTTCAGAGCAGCGTTTGAGTGTCACAAAAACAATGAGGATCTCAATTAAGGTGACGGCAATATACTTGAAAACAATGCATCCAAAACATAGTGACGTCCATCGGTATTTAAAGGGACAGTGCGCTTTTTGACGTCTTGACCTCGTTTTCTGTCAGCACCAATGCAACTTTTGGCTGAGTAAATGTTGACCGTTTTCATTATTGGATGAAGGATTCCTTTAAGAAAGTTCAGCTAATGGTGATGAAGCGACTTGACATCATCTCGTTGAATAGCGTCACTGAGCACTCGTTGAAAGAGCCCTTTGCTCATTGTTGTGGCTGCTGTTATAAGTCTTACAGCCCTGTTGTGTGGAGTGTTTCAGCCAGTCCTCGCTCTCTCGCTTTACTCTGTTAGAGTTTGTTGGCATGTAATGAGATTATGCAGACAGCCAGTGCAAACTCGTTTGCTGTAAATGACTAATTTATTCCACTTTTACACCCGTGCGCGTATCTGTGTATTTAATCATAACTAAGTGTTTTATTTTTGTTTTTATTTCAGAATTATTACTATTATTAATATTATATAATATTATTGTTTTTATATATAATTCATATATACTGTATTTAATTTTTTTGAATTATTTTGTTACTTAAATTGTTAATAATATTCATATTAAATAATATATATTTATATAAAATATAATACATTTAATCTTTTTCGTGTTTTATTTTTTGTTGTTTTTATTATTAATATTAAAATGATTAACATTCATATTAAATAATATATAGTCAGTGTTTTATTGTTATTTTAATTATTTATTAATTTAAACATTTATTATTAATATTATTCATAACAAATCATATATTTATATGTAAATCATGATATTTTTTATTATTTTTGTACTACTCTACTCTACTACTACCCTACTGCATGTAAATGTAAACCACCACAATCTTACATCCTGGTAATTATGTTGTTTTTATATCACAGAAGCTGTATATATCGCAACATATTAATGCTATTTTAGTTGGTAAAAAAATAATTTCTATATTAAATAACCGTTTCAAATGTCTGTATTTGGATCATCCAGTTAAATAGTCCTCCCACTCGGCCCTAACTCTCAGAAACCAGCAAAACAAGCTTCAGTCCAGAGCTGCAGAACTGTGTGCCAGTTGCTCCAAACACGGGGTAAAAATAGAAATGCTGGGCAGTAACAGGCCGTCGTGGTGCACAGGCCAGCCTTTATTCTCTGGAGTCCCAGCGCAATAAAAACGAGATCGATGTGAAAACTGTGAACATTGCGAGACTGCGGGATGATCCGTGTGCTTTCGGGAGAGGCTGCTTTGCACATTAGGGATGAATCCTGTAGGTCACTTTGATCCTCTGCAAGTAGGGCACGACTGCAGACAGGAAGACGAACCTAACCTACTTCCCTTCCCTGTGCTGACGGATCACAGAAAGGCCATTAGAAACGCCACGTTTATCTGCATAATGCCACAGTTTTCACTGAAAGCTCAAGTCCTGTTTGTCCAAAATAACCGCGGGGTCTGGATTCGCAACTCTGAAACCATTGCTCAACTAACCAGATAATTTCATGAACGATGACGTCTGATGGTGACTGAAGTGTAAATTGTCCACATCTTTGTTTTATCTTCCAGCTGTAGGCAGAACTTTGCAGCAGGATTATTACTAAAAACTAAAGTTTTAAAATATTAGATTAATATTAGAAAAATATTACATAAAAAAAAAAAAAATCTTTTTTGGTACTTATGCCTTCATTTGATTACCTTAAGAAAAAAAGTATACATTTTTGTATTTATTAATTTGTATTAAAACATAAATCCAGAAAAATTATGAAACACAGAATTTCTGAAAAAACAAAACATTTCATAGGGCCCTATTATTGTAAACTGTTTAATTAAATTGTTAAAGATTTATGAATTCAGTTGATTAGACACGCTTTTTGATTATTGCAGTTTAAATAAACCATTAAATCGGAATTAAGAAACACAAAACACAGAAAACCGATTTCATAGGGCCCTAAAAATTAAAGTTTTGTTGAGCTTTTAATTTAAATTGCCTAAGTTTCATGATTTCAGTGAATGCTTTTTGATTTACTAAAATAAAATAAAAAAATGTAAAAAAATAAAAATAAAAAAAAAACACAATTTGGAAAAAAAAAAGAATTTGGGGATTTTTTTCAAATTACTTGAAATAAAAGAAGTTAACCAAAATAAAAATATATAAAAAAAACTTTAACTTATTTCAGTTAGTTACCAAGACAACATTTCCCATTTTTATTTAGTTTAAGCTTAAGTACTAAAATATATAATAAACGAATAAGGGCGATTCCAAATTAAAAAAAAAAAAAAAAAAAAGTCATAAAAATTACTAAATTAATATATAACAAAATAAAAATGAAAATGGAAAATATATAAACACATAGGCTAATAAAATATATAATAGGAACTATAATAGTACATCAGTGATACTATAATAACTCTGTTTTGTCTTTTTAAACATCAAGTGTCATAAACATTATCACAATTACATAACATTACATTTGTTTATTGCTCTCTTATGCATTTTCCCATGGGACTGGTCAAAGAGCCGAAGCAGTGCTTTGGTTAACTGCTTGTTTGTGCGTTTGCAGTGAGAGGGTCGAAGCCTGGCAAGAACGTTCAGCTGCAGGAGAACGAGATCCGTGGATTGTGTCTGAAATCCCGCGAGATCTTCCTCAGCCAGCCCATCCTCCTGGAGCTGGAAGCGCCGCTGAAGGTCTGCGGTGAGTAACACAAACCTGCTCGTGCTACGTTTCAGCTCGCTGTTGAATCTTAGTTAAAGCACGCCGCAGATGTACTGTGTTAAATGTGACCCTGGACCACAAAACCAGTCTTAAGTGTCAATGCAAATATGGAATAGCAGAATCTCTACTACTGTCAGATGTCTTTCAGAGTTGTTTTAGCCTGTCATGTTCAGCGAATGAGACGCTCTCCTCTCCACAGGCGATATCCACGGGCAGTACTACGACCTGCTCAGGCTCTTCGAGTATGGAGGATACCCACCTGAGAGCAACTACCTGTTCCTGGGAGACTATGTGGACCGAGGGAAGCAGTCTCTGGAGACCATCTGTCTCCTGCTAGCCTACAAGATCAAATACCCTGAGAACTTCTTCCTGTTGAGGGGAAACCACGAGTGTGCCTCCATCAACCGCATCTACGGCTTCTACGATGAGTGTGTGTGTCCAGTGGAGACTGGGCCATGATTTCCGTGATGCGGAAGACGCATTATAATAATAATATTTTTTTTTTTCTTAGCAATCGCATAGCAACACCCTAGCAACCACCCCAAGTACCCTAGCAACCGCATAGGAACACCCTAGCAACCACCCCAAGTACCCTAGCAACCGCATAGCAACACCCTAGCAACCAGCCCGGGTACCTTAGCAACCGCATAGCAACACCATAGAACAGGGTATGAAATTAACACCCGCCAACCCGCGAAATGCGGGTAAAAATCAGCTGTGGCGGGGAACGCTTTCAAATAACTAGCCAGCTTATATCAAAACATTATTTATGCATTTGTAACTGCAGGTTAAAGCATCCCATGTCCCTCTAAGCTGCGTTATAACATCGTGCGTGTAAATACATCTAAATGCCACTTCATATTCAACTTCTGCAAAGATGAATTTTATTGATACTGATTTCATTTGTTTAGTAACAGCCTAAATGTAGTATTGTTATAATCGCCTGATTAAATGTAAGAATTTGACTCAAAAGATGATGCACACTTTTAGTAAACATTGATTTATAAAGGTAAAAATGCCCATAAAAGGTAAAAAATCAATCTAAACTTATTGGAAAAGATCAATTTCTATCACCGCTGTGAACTGACCCGCACAGAACATGAAGAATATCAAAAACTTTAGGCGTCAGCTGTCCGCGGTATCCTTAAGATATCAGCACAATAACACACTCAGCAAAATATTGTCTAATTATCTTTATCAATAAAATCCCAGAAAATATTGAGATGATATTTTTTGTCAATATCGCACACCCTTAGTACCGACACAAAATGATTTGCAGCAGTCGCGTTGTCATGTAGACAGCCTCAAGCTGTTGGTTTATTTCGGGGTTTTTTTGGCTGGTAGAAGTTATGAATGGCCGGTAACTTAAAAATATAGTAGCCAAATTGGCTGGTGAGTAAAAAAGTAAATTTCAATCCCTGCCATAGAAACCACAAAGACACACCATAGAATCTATTAATGTACATCTAAAATTTCTAATTTAATTTAATATTTTCTATCTATCTGTCTGTCTGATAAATTGCATTGTCTTCAAAACTTTAAAACTACTTTAAACTTCAAACTAGTTAAAACTGAAAACCTTCAAACTTAAAGCTTTTAAAACTACTTCAAACTTTTTAGCTAGGCTTTTTCAAGCCAGCTTAAAGTTTGTCTACAAACTTTACTATCTAGTTTAAGGAATATCACTCAATTCTATTTTTACAGTAAACCTCAATTGTGCAGCACTTTGCCAAAAAATGAGAGGAGTTGTTCAATTTTCACTTGATAACTTTTTAAAAGATTAATTAATTTGTTAATGTTTTATGCCTTTATTTGATTACAACCGCTTTTTTATGAACTAATTTGCATTAAATCATAAATCCACAAAAACCGACAGCACAGAATTTCTGAAAAAACAAAATTATTGTAAACATTTTAAATTATTAAATGATTAACCTTTTATGAATTCAATTGATTAGACATGCTTTTTTGATTATTACTATTTAATTATACCATTAAAATGGAATCCAGAAGAATTTTATTTTAACGGAATACACAGAATTTGAGGAAAATAAAACAGATTTCATAGGGTCCTAAAAATATTAATTATTAAATTGTTGTAAAAATGTGCAAGTTTCATGACTTCAGTCAGCAGTTTCATTATAGTTACATAAACGAAAACCATTGAACAGTTTTTGTTACTTGACATAAAATATTTAAAATATTATTTTATCATTTAGTTTATCTTGATGTTCTAAAATAACTAAAACTGAAATAAAAATGAATAAACTATATAGACATAAAAAACTAATAAACTATTAAAAATGACAAAAACATGCAATAAAATGACTAAAACGTTAATTAAAATTAAAATAAAAACAACTTTAAATATTATTAAAATTATAATAGTATCTCAATGATGCTAAAAGAACCCTGATTTCAAAATGTTAGTTATTATAGATGTTTTTGTTTTGCTATAATTAGAACAGAATTTAAACCTAAAAAAAGGAATTTCTGGGAAAGGAAAAAAAAATTATAATAAATAAAATGGATTTCATAGTGCTCTACATGATGATATTACTTTTTGCATTAGCAGAACCAGATTAAGGAATTGCTTTTGTGGTCATTTGTTAATAAAGATGTCAGTAGACTTTTTTTTTTATTGAAAAACAACACGATTCTGTTTAAGGTGTATTTTGTAATCACTAATCCTGCTAGAACGCTGGGCTGTCATGGATGTTCATGTTAATATAATCCGCAAATGCATGTCCAGATTTGACTGTGTTTGGCCGTGTTTTAAGCTCTTATAAGAGCAAAACATGCACTTTAAGCAGAACTCTGTGACTCTCATTCAGTGCAGAATTAATTATTGAGCACCGTTGAGAGTGAAGGGAACCGGAGTGTATTTTTAGCAGAGTCTGTCCCTCTAGTCCCTTTTATTCACTTACATTTGAACTACTGTTAAATAATAAATCCTGAAGGTGAGCTTAAGCTCATGCTTGTGTGTTTAGGCAGGAGACGCTACAACATCAAGCTCTGGAAGACGTTCACGGACTGCTTCAACTGTCTGCCCATCGCCGCCATCGTGGATGAGAAGATCTTCTGCTGTCATGGAGGTGTGTGTGCTGCTGTAACCTTCTAGATAACCAGAGAGACTTTCACCTGCTAAACAACAAGCGCTGGCTCTTCTGCTACGTGGAATATCGTGAATCTGAGTTTTTATGGCATCCATTAAAGTTCACACTTTTGTTCAAATATTGTACGTGCGACTGTGCAAAGTCCAAGTCACATCACCGGTCTTTTGTCACGAGTCCAAGTTAAATCTCAAATCCGTTTGTTAATCTTTTTCTGTATGCAGCAGGTTCGTTTTATAAACACTGTTGCTGGACATTTAGTTTTTGCATTATTTTATTAAATAAATGGCAAGTTGCTGTACGTTTAGTTATATAATATATATATAAAAAAACAAAATATATTCAATTAAATATACACTACTGTTCAAAAGGCTAGTTTGGTAAATTTTTATAAAAATGTTTTTGAAAGAAGTCTCTTCTGCTCATCAAGGCTGCATTTATTTGATCAAAAATACAGTAAAAATGATAAAATATTATTATAATTTAAAACAGCTGTTTTCTATGTGAATATCTGTTAAACTGTAATTTATTCCTGTGATCAAAGCTGAATTTTCAGCATCATTACTAGGGCTGGGTATCGATTCAGATGTCCCGATTCGATTTCGATTCGCAAGCTCTCGATTCGATTCTCGATTTTTTTTAAATTACATTCAGTGAATAGTTTTAATACAAATGCTATTGATATTTCTAAAAAAAATCATTATAAATGCCTTTAATGCCACTTTTGATAAATTTATTGCATCCTTTATTAAAAATAAACGTGTAATTGATTTAGAAATCATATAATCTTAATAATCTGTTGGAGAAAAAAAAACGTATGTAACTGAATTAAAAACAGTATTTAATGAAATAATTTGTTAGAAAATATTACACATTAAATCATAAAGTGTTTCTTTCACCCAGTCATTAACATGAATGTCCATTTGAACTGGATCGCTAAAGTGAATCAAACCTCCTAATGCTTCATGAGAAAGAAATGCTACTGAAATTATTTAAGTTATTTGCGTCATTCCTCAATCAGATGATCTTTCTCTGATGAAGCTGATGCATGTAAAACGAGAAGCCTGAACATCTGCTTTCTGTTTACTGTTGCTCTGAGACTCTGCTCAGCGTAGCTCTTACTCTGCAGGATGTGTTGTTGAAATGTTTAGGGTGTAAATCATCTTACTTCATCAGTTCATGATTTGCACTGACATCATCTCCCACATTTCTGAGAGCCGAGTCAGTGCGAATCCCAGGCGTGTGGAGTATCGCGTATGATCCCTGAACAGATGCACATAAGGCACAATATGTATGATTTTATGACACTAGAACAATATGTATGACACTAGAACAGTGTTATATATTTTGCTGACTTGTGTACTTACATTATCCCAAATGCGCTGCTTTACCCCACATACACACGACCGGAAGCAGCGGAAGTGCTCGACTGTGGCGTAATAAAAGCCCCGCTGCTTTCGAGCCGTTGTATCACGCTCGTTCAGCGCCTCGACGGCTTTCAGCCTCACCCTGCTTCATTCTACTACGTTAATAAATCATTAGCTCATCCATGAACATGATTTCTGCCCGAGTCCCGTCGGATTGCATCGGCTGTGGGGATGAAGACCACAACTCCCATGATTCCACACTCACGCCTTTGTTTCTTTTTGTTTTGAATACGCGGCCTCTAGTGGCAAAAAAATTACATATTGTGCCTTTAAGAAACTAGGAACTTTCTAGGAATCTCCAGCTGTTTCTGCTGTTTCTCAGGCTTGTCTCCAGATCTGCAGTCCATGGAGCAGATCAGAAGGATCATGAGACCCACAGATGTCCCGGACCAGGGCCTCCTGTGCGACCTGTTGTGGTCTGACCCGGATAAGGACGTGCTGGGATGGGGCGAGAACGACCGAGGCGTGTCCTTCACCTTCGGAGCGGAAGTGGTGGCCAAGTTCCTTCACAAACATGACCTGGATCTGATCTGCAGGGCTCACCAGGTGAGTCTTCAGCAGGGCTGAACAAGAAATCGAAATGAAAGATTGCTGAGGCTGCATTTAATGTGAATAAAAATATCCGCTGCTGATTTCAGAGTGAAGCGCGGTGATGTGTTCATTTAAACATGTAACATGTGCGTGTAAATGAACACAGTGCCGCGCTTTAATCTACAGTCTTACTAGTATTTTTATTAAATACATGATTGTTTATTTTACAGTATTATTGCAGTTTATTTTGTTTATACACTGCCTTTCAAAAGTTTGGGAAAGTGCAAAAGTAATGATGCAGAAAATTCAGCTTTGCATCACAGAAATAAATTATATTTCTAAGTATATTAAAATAGAAAACCATTATTTTAAATGGTAATAATATTTTACAATATTACTGTTTTCTTTCAGTATTTTCTGTATTTCTGATCAAATAAGTGGCTTTTTTAAAACGCATTAAAAATCTTACTGATCCCAAACTTTTGAACAGTAGTGTATATTTTTGTTTAATAATAATAATAACAAAAATCATATTTTATATCTGTATTAATGATTTAAAAACAGTGACCTATAAAATCTCAAGTGGAAAGAACTTTAAAAAGCTTTCTTTTGTTCAGCATTCGTTAACTACATTAGTTACCAAACTAACAATGAATGATACTTCTACAACATTTAACAATTTAATGTTAATTTCAGCATTTAATAGCATTTTTAAAATCAAAAGTTGATATTAGTTTGCACTGTGAATCTGTTATTTTAGAAACATTGATGCTATTATAGTTTTTGTTTTCATTAGATTTAATTTTTAATTTTAATGTTGTTTTTGTCATTTTTATTAGTTTTTGTCTGTATAGTTTTTATTACAGTTTTAGTTATTTTAGTACATCAAGTTAAACTAAATGAACATGAGAAATGTTGCCTTGGCAACTAGCTGAAATAAGCTACGTTTGATAAGTTTTCTGGTTTATTTTATTTCAGTTAACTTTTTTTTATGGTTTTAGATTTAGTTAACTATAATAACCCTGGAACTAATATGAACAATATTTTTTATTAAATTAAATGTATTCAATTTTAATAATTTAACTAACTCTAACTAAGAGTTCTAACTCTAGCACTTTCTATTCTATTTTAATTCTACTTTATCTATTTATCTTATTTTTTATTTAAAAAAACACCTAACACTAGTTTTCTATTTTTTCTATTATAATTGTTTTTCTTTGTGTGTGTGACAAATTAATAAACCTCAACAGCTCTATGTAAAGAATTATCGACTTCCAATCTTATTTTTGTACAACTGAGATGTTGTTATAGTTTTTGTTAACAGTTTGATGTAGTTTTTATTTGTATATTTTCATTTTCATTTTGTAACTAAAATATTTTGGTCATTTCTAAATGTTCTAGTTTTAGTAAACTAGTAAAAAAAATTTTTTTGCCATTTGTAGTTTTTTCTTTCATGTGTCTATATAGTTTTTAGTAATTTTATTTATTTTTTAGTTTTCGTTATTTTAGTGCATTTTGTACAATGGTGCCTTTGTAACTAGCTGAGTTAAAAGTTTTTTTTCTTATTTTTTTTTTTATATTTTAGTTTGATTCCATGCAATTTTTATTTTATTTCATGTGTTCAAAATAGATTTAGTTTTAATTCTAGTTTAAGTTAAATATAATAACCCTGATAAATACATATAGCTTCCATTTCCATTACTAATGATCATAACAGTGGGGGTTTCTTTCTGATAGCATACGTTTTTATTTGCCCTGCCAACATGTTGACCTGCATTACCATAAGTTTTTATTTTTAAAGTTTTTGTACCAGGAAAAAAAAAAGAGATTAAATGTGTAGAATAAAATACATTTATTTTGCATTAATAGCTAGGGAAAAAACGTATCAATTAAGAGAAGTTTCTTCTTAGTAAGACAAATGAACAGACTTAAAAACATTCAAATTTCAAATAGTTTTTTGTGCTTTTTATTCAGTTATTTATATAATTATAACCGTTACAAATTAATAAACCTCAACAGCTCTATGTAAAGAATTATCGACTTCCAATCTTATTTTTGTACAACTGAGATGTTATAGTTTTTGTTAACAGTTTGATGTAGTTTTTATTTGTATATTTTCATTTTCATTTTGTAACTAAAATATTTTGGTCATTTCTAAATGTTCTAGTTTTAGTAAACTAGTAATTTTTTTTTTTTTGCCATTTGTAGTTTGTTCTTTCATGTGTCTATATAGTTTTTAGTAATTCTATTTCTTTTTTAGTTTTCGTTATTTTAGTACATTTTGTACAATGGTGCCTTTGTAACTAGCTGAGTTAAAAGTTTTTTTTCTTATTTTTTTTTTTATATTTTAGTTTGATTCCATGCAATTTTTATTTTATTTCATGAGTTCAAAATAGATTTAGTTTTAATTCTAGTTTGTTAAATATAATAACCCTGATAAATACATATAGCTTCAAAACATATATGTGACCCTGCAGCACAAAAGCAAAAAAAAAATCTTTAGAAATGGAGAATTTGCTGTTCTTTAAATATTCAAGAACTGGACTGTTCTTAAGACAATATTTGAGAACTCTGATGTTCTTAGAAAAATATTTAACAAGGTTAAAACTGTTAATAAAATATTTGAAAACTTACAAATATTAACAAAATATTTCAGAACTTAAAAGATGTACTTAAATAATTTCTTGACTTTTTTTTTTTTGTAAATATTTTAAGAACTTAAACGATTCTTTAAAGATGTTTGAGAACTAAAAATATTGGAGAACTGAATTTTATAAAGAGATCTTTAGAAATGGAGAACTTGAGATGTTAATATTCAAGAACTTAACTGTTCTTAAGACAATACTTCAGCTTTAAGCTTTGCACTTGGAACATGCTTGTGAAGGGAAAAACGTTCATCTTTGTAATGTTCCTGACACTTTAATAACTTTTCACCATTCAATCAATGAACCTCAACCTACATTTCTTTGTTTAATATTTCAATCTGGAAAGAAAATAAGTGAAAGTCTGGCAATAAAATATAACTTAAAATGACTGGCGCCATTATCATGAAGTGTTGCATTATTTCTTTATTATATAAACAAATACATTCTGTATTAAAATAAAACAAAATGATTGCAAAAAAATTGGATTCATAAACAGATCTGTGCAAATTAAGTACAATTCACAAACCCTTTATAGTTTCTCCAGCCTATCGTTTAAAATGGATATGCATATACTTTTCATGAAAGGAAGGTCTCGATGTCTATAAACCATCTCATAATCAATCCTTCTGTTTATTCCTTTATTAACTGATGCACAAAGACCGACCATGAAAATGACATTTGATCATCCAGCATTAAGTCACAGATGCAGATCAGTAAATCGGCATTATGAATAGTGGATTATTGAATTAAACGCTCGTTCACATTAAAAAGTAGTTCACATAAAAATGTGCTCACCCTCAGATCATCCGAGATTAGGATATTTGTTTCTTCATCAGGTTTGTAGAAATGCAGCATTGCATCACTTCCTCACCAATGGATGTGAATGGGTGCCGTCAGAATGAGAGTCCAACAGCTGATAAAAACATCACAATAATCCACAGTTTTAAACTCAAATATGAGTCCATAATCCATAATAACGCTTCCTCCAGAGAAAAAGTGATCTGGTGTGAATCAGGAGAGAAATCTGCACAGATCAAACAGCGTTTGAACAAACTTTTTTTTTTCTTCTAAACACGCAGCTTTTGTCTTCTCCAGATGTTAACTGATGGGCTGGAGTGCTGTGGATTATTGTGATGTTTTTATCAGCTGTTTGGACTCTCATTCTGACGGCACCCATTCACTCCAATGGTGAGCAAGTGATGCAATGCTGCATTTCCCCAAATCTGATGAAGAAACAAACTCCTCTACATCTGGGATGGCCTGAGGGAGAGTCAGTTTTCAGCAATTATTCCTTTAACAGCACCTCTTTCTGTGGGCCGAAATGAGAGGAAAGCATTTCTATTGCATTGAATATTTCACCATGAATCAGAATCAAATGTCAAGCACTTGAAATTCAGTCTCATAACGGATAAATACGAATGAAAGCTGTTTACGCATAATGACCAGATCTGTTTGGGACGACGGGCTTTGGAGCTCGAGCGTGTAAACCGTCGTAAATACTCAGCTGTATAAAACTGGAGTGAGTTTGAGGTCTCGCAGGAGAGGGAAGATAAATACTGGTCCGTAAGAAGGCAATGTGGTGATGTCCACCAGACTGTCATCCGGGAGGAAGCTGAACGTGATGAAGATCAAACCTCTCGTAAGAGACCGCCTGCTTTTTTGCAGAAACTGAAATGTGAGATCTGGTGATACTGAGATACATTCCTCCGGTAAACACTACACCAGAACAAACACAAAACACGTGAAGCAAGATTTCACACAAAATGAAGATTCTGTCATCATATTTCCAGCATCAAAAATTAAATAAAAATTTTGCTTATAAGAAAATATTTGAAAAATATTTTTTTTCTACTTGGAAAATTGTTTTTTTTTTTTTTTTAAGAATTTATCTAAACTTGTTTGCTGAATGTTTAGTTCTCTTAGAACTCACGTTTTCATAGTTATGAAGTGATTGTTTTTATATTATTCTTAAATTGTTTTAAATTTTTCTGTATCTCAATGTATTTTTTTTAAAGCGCTTTGAGATGCAACTTTTAAAGGCGCTATAAAATAAAGTTGATTATTGTTGTTTGCAGCATGCATCAGATCATGTTATTCTAAGGAAAAAAATCATTGTCAATTCTCTCGTGAATAAATGAAATGTTTTCATTGATTAATCTCATTAATGCAATGATTAGTGCAAAAAATCCTCAATATAATAATAACAAAAAAACTGCTCAGGATCAGCAAATGTGTAATGATGACAATTATATTTTGATGATAACACTTTACATTCAGGTTTCGTTTGTACAGTAGTTAAACTAATACCTCTAAAGCATCCATTAGTCTTAGATAAAATCAATTTAAACATTCATTAATATAAAAATCTAAAGTTGCATCATTAATGCACTAAACTAATATGAAAAACGAACCACTGTATTTTTATTA